ATGGATGAACGCTTGGCGGCGGTGAGGATCAGCTGAAGAGCTTAATGAGGCAGAAACCGCCGCTGACTGACAGGACGCAGTTTCCTCCGCCTGGAAACATTTTGTGGAGTATTTGTCATTTTTATTTTCCTCCATCAACCTGCTCACATTCCCGCCTGCACACGTGCAGAGCTGATCACATGACGGCGTCCATGTTTACTGATCAACCTGTCTGTAAAGGATCATATGAATGTTAAATATAATTTCAGTGATTGATGTTCTGAGGACGTTCTGGCTCTTCTACAGGCAGCAAGCTCCACCAATCACAGCGCAGCGGGGCAGCGACTGTCTGAGGCCTCAAACTCACAAAAATACATTCAGTTTTTCCGACGATGGAAAGCTCCTGATGAAAGAAAACACTGAATCAATCAGATCCTTTTCACCTCCTCGTGCTGGAAGTTGAATATTAGCTGAAAACCTCCTGCTGAGTCTGGATCCGGGTTCTGGATCCGGGTTCTGGCTCCTGTGGCGTTTGGAGCTCAGGTCTCTGTGGTGTTTCTTTAACCTCCGTGTGGAGGTTGCGTAACAACGGTGTGATGAGCCGAACCGCACTCAGTGATATCTCAGACCTCCCACCGTTTGATTCCTCGGATTTATCGACGCTCGGCGATGGCTGGCGGGGCCCCTGGGAGCCTGGCCTCCACATCCAGAGGAGAGATTATTGAGGAAGCTGCAGAACCTGCCTGAAGAACCTTTCTTCAGTATCACAGCAACCCAGTGATAGCTCACCTGTACGATGCTAACAGGAAGTGCTAACAGCTAATTCGGCATACCTTACATATCTTTTTTCAAAATATTTGAAGCCGCCAACCTTCGCCGTCCTCTCTGAGAGGTTGTCTGTTCACATGTTTCCAATCTTCTGCTCATCACCTCATTAAAGAAAAAAAATTAGATTACAGCTCGTAGCTCTGTGCAGCCGGGGAAGCCACGAGTCGGGATCGGCCTGGAAAACACCACCGCTGATTGGTCCTGGCAGGTCCGGGCCGCGGAGTTGAGAGACGAGTTAAGGACAGTAAGTATGAAGATTCCCACATTTAGCCTCAGTCTGTTAGCTGTTAGCTTTAGCTTCAGTCTGTTAGCTTTAGCTTCAGTCTGTTAGCTTTAGGAACGATGCCTGAGGAAAACATTTGGTTTTGAAGCACTTTAACTCCACATCTGCTTCCAGTGAGAGCAGATCTCCTATTAGAGGAGGTTTTAATCTGCTCCAGACTCCACATACTGTCCCCACCCGCCCACCTCTACACCCATGCAGAGGAAACAAACCACCCTGCAGCAGAGGGTTCACATCAGGATGGATTATGAAACAATCTGTGTTTATTTATGTTAAAATAATGAGACAATGAACATTTAATACACTGCAATGTTCCTATATTTTATTTGGACTGTTAGCTCCATGCTACTAACTAGCTCGCCGTTTACAAATCACCCATCAGCCAACACCACGAAGCAACCAACGCCAGACCCACACCACACAGACACCACGAAGCACAGCCAGACAAACAACTCCAGCTTAGCTTAGCTACAGTTAGCTAGCTGGATGCCCCTGCCTCGCATCGCTCTTGGCTAGTAGAAAGCTATCGTTAGCTTTGTACCGCTACATCATTTATTGTTGGCTAACATCAACACCGTTTGTCAGAATACATAAGTTAGTATCATGGATCACGTTAGCTGGGGAAGCTAACGTTAGCTGACCAACTTATCCACTCAAATTGTATTTTGCTAGCAATAACAATAGCGAGCAAGTAAGCTTAGGTTAGCCAAACTGAATAATGTTATCCGGTAATCGCTCCCTTCCAGAGGGGCCCCCCCTCCCTTCCAGAGGGACCCCTGAGGAGAAACCCTTGATGTAAAGCTAACCTCGGTGCTCTCACATGAATCAGTGTGTTTATTGGACTGATGGAGCTTCATATAAAGACTCATGACTCACTTTAACAGATGTGATTAAGTTACATAAGAACAATAAAGAGCCTTATATTGTCCTGTATAACGTAAACTCTGCTTGTTATCTCAGACAACACAAGACATCATGGCTACAACGAGGGCTCGCCAAACTCTTTCAAAGGAGCGTATTTAAAAGGTGGAACCGTGCAGGAACTGGTCTGAGAGCTGCTGGTTCTGGTGTTGACGGCGGCTCTCCCACAGCTGGTTCTGAGAATCCACAACAAACAGTGAGTCAGAGGGAGACCCTCAGAGGGAGGTCCAGCTCTCCCACACTGATGACTCATGATGGGAGAACCAGCACAAGGAACATTGATTATAAAACATTAGTTACAGATTATTAGTGAAAAATATGACCAATAATCAATAATGATGTGTAATTATAGGTTAAACGACTCCTCTCCTGTACTATGCTATATGCTATGCTAATTTTCTCTTCCATCTTCTCTTTTTTTGTCGTCGTCAGCAGTACTTGGATGCAGCTGATGCGTTGCCGCGGTAACGTCCCCTGTTTTCGTTTCATGGTGCTGTTGGATGACGGGGGATTCTCTCTCTGGAGTTTCCCGGCTCGAGTCGAGCAAAACATAACGAGGGGTTTTACCTTGTTCCTTGAGACCAAACGCGGCTTCAGCCAAGATTCTGATCTTAGTGCAATGACCTCAACTCGCCACCGCACGCTGCTTCTTTAATGGATGTTTGTTCTGTTGATTTAATGTAATTTCTTTTGGTTTCTATGTCGACATCAAGCCACTGAAGCAGGTGTAACATGCAGCTGCTGCTTTCCAGAATCAATCATTTGCACTTTAATCTTTCTTTTAGCCCCAAATCTTTAGAATGCACTCTACAAAGTCAAAAGTTGAAGTTTTTTCTGTCACTTTGTTGGACAGAGTTGGTGTTGGAGCGTTCAGAGATTCAAGGATGACTCAGTCCGTCCACTCAGTTCGGAAAGAAAGAAAACAAGCAGCCAACAGAAAACACTGTTGTTGCTGCCTTCATTTCAAGAAAACAGACAGTGTGGTGTTGTACAGCTGCTACAGCAACTGAGAAGAGCCAAACTTGTCACATCTGGGCCAAACATTTACATAATTCTAGCTGTCACTTTTGTCCTTGATGTGTCTGGTTCTGAGCTTAACTTTGAGCTGCCCTGTGTGGTCGGCATCCAACTTCAACAGAAAATATGATGCAGTTATTTCCGGCCAACGAGGAACTCCCAATAAACATTATGGTTAAGTTGCCTATCTTTAACCATGTTGTGCTCGGACACTGAGTGAATAAGTAGACTCACGCAGTAGATGTTAAAGCTGTTGGTCATACAGCGTCACAGATTGTTGTTTTGACAAATGGAAAGTGAATGCAACATTGAAAATGGTCTAAAAAAGGTGGATGAGGCTGGGCTTCAGTTTCACCAGCAGAGACTAATGGTGTCCTGAAAGAAATACTGACCAAAGTCCTGGAAATCCAGAGTAACCACCCAGAAACCACATGAATCATTTGATATCCAGTGCAAGACTCAACCTCCTTGAACACCCCAACCATAATCCCATAACAACCCCTCAGAAAGTGCTAACTATTCAGAACCGTAGCAACTCCCTATTATACCCCTAAAAACCCTCATAACACCCTAGCCTACCCTAGCTCTTCAAACTCCTAGCAACAACATAACAACCACTACCTAGCACCCCATTGCTAATTGGTTGTTCAGATATTAGTGACATCAGAGCAATCAAACAACAACGTCTCAACAGGAAGCAACACTGCTCCTTTGCTTTGGTATCGAGAAAGTTTAAACCCTCCAAAAGTTCGCAGATGACATTTGAACAAGCAGAAAGTCATTAATCAGCACTGACCCTGGATCAGCTGTAGCAGCTCCGATTAAACTGCAGGACGGACGAACAGCTGCCTACTTTTCCATGGAAATCAGCTTCTTTTCTTCCACATGTTGAATCTTTTCTTGTCTTTTACTCTGGAAACAGTTTTTATAACTGAAGTCTGGAGAGAGATTGCCTGTGGTAGATTTATAGAGTGTTATTGATCTTTCAGCCTTCACAGAAGCCTGCAGTTAAAGTCAAATTCAGCCCCTTTTCCTGCTTATTTCCAGCATTTCTTTCATCTTTGCTATTATCAAGTATTTAAACTGTGCTGTAGATACAGGGCAGCGGTCAGCGCTGTCGATACAGAGCAGCGGCAACATCTTAAATCGTGAATCTGATAGCAGGAAAGCGCTGTTGCCTTGAATAGTTGTTTGCTGCTAGTTTCATGTACATAATCTCGTATATATAACCTTTAAGAAGTAAATCCTCTGTGTGTCTCATTGCAGATGAAGTCCACATGGACGGTCCAGGACAGCGCACTGACCACATACCCCCCCAGGTATTTGAATGATAATCTTCGGAGCAACATTGTGTGGCTCCAAATATGATCTTGTCTGCACTGTTGTGATCACACCACTGAACTACCAATATGCATCATTAGAGGCTTTAAAGAGCCTTGTCAGCCTTTCTGTTTCCATGTTTAGTCCAACAGAGTGGACGGAAACTGAGACTGGAAACCTTTTAGCCATTTTTATCTGTCTAATAATTATAATCTCATAATTTAAACTTTTTATCTCATAATTCTGACTTTTTGTTTTATACATTTCACTGAAACATAACATAACAGTTGACTGGTAGAAATGGGCTTCCATACCAAACAATAATAATACAAACAGGATTGGCTAATTATTATTAGTAGTTTGTCTTACGTTGTTTAGCACGCATTAGCTGCTGCTAACGTTAGCTC